ATTTTTGAACACTCCTCCTGTAGAGGGAAAGGCCCGACGTAAGCCTGGGGCCCCGGTGCCGAGCTCGCTGGGCGGCCCCGGCGCCGCGGCGGCGTAGGCTGCCAACGCGGGAGCTGCCTGGCCCTCGACGGGTCAGGGCGGCGGTGGAGCTGGTGGCCTCCAGCTGTTTCGACTGGGCGGAGGTAGTGTTGCGTCGGGCTTATCCTTCTGCAGGAGGAATGTTCAAAAATAGTCAAAAAAATGTCAGGGCACGACTTGTTGTTACTGCTTTTGGCTATGTTTGATTATGTGTGGAGTAACTATGTTTTTTTTTCTCACAAAATCCACCTGCAGGGGGACATGCCCGACCTATAGGCAGTGCTCGTCGGGCTCCTGCGCTGCGGGATCGGGCTCCTGATCTCGAAGATGAGGAAGAAGAAGAAGAAGAAGAAGAAGAAGCGCCATAAACATGAACTTGCGGCGCTCCGCGCGGATTTCTTGGATCCGCGCTGGGCCCTCCTAGTCGGCGCCTCCGGCGCCGCCCCTGGCGCGCTCTGCGCGCCAGGGAGGGGATTCCAGCGCAGATCCAAGAAATCCGCGCGGAGCGTCAAAAGATCATGTTCATGCAGCTTTTGCCGTTTATTCTATGATCGGACGCGGGCTTCAATTTGCCGTGGAGCCGGCTGGTGACGGAGATGATTCTGGTGATCAGGGAATTTTTGTTGAGGTTGACCTCGTGCTTACGACGACCTCTGGCACGGGCGGATCCTGCTGTTCCTAGCCGCAAGTGAGGCGTGTGCGGTCGCAGGACGGACCTCTGCCTGGGTGGTGTTCACCCCCGACGGCGACGTGTACACCGAGGAGCTCAAAGCCCGCTCCCTGGAGGACATCCCCGTGGAGTGGCTGGAGATCGCCAGGGATTTGGTGCTGCCAGTGGGCGCGGTGCGGGCCTGCTGCTATCGGGCGCAGCCGACACAGGAGGAGCTGAAGGGGCACCTCCGCATGGCCTGTTCGGCGGCGCTCGCGGATACGCGGGCGTCTGGCGCCCACCGCGTGCGGGCGGCAGAGGGGCGTGACATGCCCGTGGCCGAGGCGCCGGGGAGGGACTTTTTCTTCGAGCGGGGGCGGCGGCTCACGGGCAAGAGGCCCGCTGGTCGTGGCGCGGCGGCGACGCCGCCGGCCCCCGCAGCGCCCGCGGCGCCCGTGCCCGCTCCTGCGGCCGTAGTCGCCCGTCCCCCCGATCGTGCGGATACGGTCGGCGACACCGCCACCCCGCTGGCCCCCGGGGCCGCCCGGCGATCTGCTGAGGCCGATATGGCGGCGGGCATCGAGGTCGGCGACGAGACCGCGGTGCTGGCGCACGCCCTCTACAACAAGAGGCTCTTCCAGAATGGGGCGGACACGTCCATCGTAGTCCACTGCACACGGCTTGACAAAATAGCCTTCACCGAGTCCCTGAGGCCGGCTGCGGCGGCGTCGTCGGCCGATGGCCCCAACGACGTCCGCACGCTGCCATTGAAGAGCGGTTCGCGCGGGCGGGACCGCGAGCGGCGAGAGGTGGTCGGCGGACGCGAGGAGGAGCCGTTCGGAGACTCTCCTATTCCAGGCCCCCGCTCTGTGGTTTGATGTCTCAACTTTGTTCGGCACCATCGCACACCGACGGACCATCACCTTATGCTCAAGACGACAGCCAGGCTCCAGGCTGAACAGTGCGGAGTGCAAAAGCACGAGCAGCTCATGAAGTACCTGGAGATGGCCGGGACCTACGGCAAACTCGACCTGACGACTTGCGTTTTCGCTGAGGATGTTTTTTTGGCAGGGCTCAGACCACCGAGTGGTGCCAGCGCGACCGCGCTGGGCGAGCTGCGCGCCCACGAAGGAGCGCAGCTGCACGCGGGTCACGCGGACATCTGCAAGGTCTGCCACCATTCTGCCTTGCCCAATTTCTTCCGCGACCCCTTCGCTTCGCCTTCCCGATGGCCGGTGGCGTGGGCGCGTCCGCCTTGGAGGGCCATGCTGCACAGCCGAAGACTCGCCTCTTGGCCCGCGCTGGCCGCGCTGGCCGTTATTCCGATGGGTCGGTCTCACGCGCTGCATTGGTGCCCGGCGATTCACGGCACCATCGATTACTCGATGCCAGAGCTGTTGGACGCGCCTTTCGTTTCCGACAAAATCTTTGCACCAGCTGCGTCGACAATTTAAGCCTTGGGAGCCGAGCCCAAAGCTGCAGCTCGCGCCGCGCAGTTGGTCAATGCCGCCCTGGCGGAGACGCCCCCCCCCCGCGAGACTTCTTCATGCAATCATGCCGTTGTGATCCAGGGTTGGGAGATCCAGGGGAAAACGCGCGATCCGTCCAAAGGAATCAGGGTTGTGGCGACTCCGACTGGCGCTTGACTGCTTGGCCATTCGCACTGTTGAGAGTCCGCGCGAGGATGAAAAAGTACTCGGGCGCTGTACCTTCGTCGCGCGCTTGCGCCGTGGACATATTGCCGTATTCAACGTTGTCTACACCTTCATTCGCCGGCTTCGCCAGTGCACCGCGGCAGCCCCGCGGGGCTCCGTTCGCTGGGGGGTAACCACATGTTCTGCGACATGCTGCCTTGGATATCTGGAAGTCTGCTGGTTTCTTCTCGTAGCCCTCGGGCCATCGGTTCGAACGCCCCCCTGGAGCTTCGGGGTAGTCGCCAAAGAGTTGAACGAGGACCTCATTGACTCAGCGGGGCGATTCTCGGAGAGGTGACGCTTCCTGGGCGACGAGGTGGGCTCCAGGACATGGGCCAGGGTGGCTGCTGGAGCTGGGCCTGGGGTTCGAGACAGCTCCGAGGAGTTTCAGGGTGTCGCGAACTCAGCGGAGTCCGATCTGGGGGCCCGCGTGGTGGCCTTCGACCCCTTGCCTCATCCGTTTCGGCGGGAAGGGCGGGCGGTGGCGGGCTCGTACAAGTGGGCCAGACCGCCGGAGAACATCGTGGACGGGAAGCCCTGGCCATCGCGTTCGGGGTGAAACGCGTCTTCCGCGCTGCCTCCTCCTCCTCCTCCTCCTCCTTTCCTCCTCCTCCCTCCTCCTCCTCCTCCTCCTCCTCCCCTCCTTCCTCTTTCTTCCTCCTACCTCCTCCTCCTCCTCCTCCTCCTCCTCCTCCTCCTCCTCCTCCTCCTCCGCCTCCTCCTCCTCCTCCTCTTCATCCTCCTCCCCCTCCTCCTCTACGACTCGCCGTCGTCCATTCCGGCTCTTGGCAACGGGCGCTCTTCGACGCCCAGAGCGTGCACGGCCCTGCGGGCTGCGACGGCCCACGTCGCCGCGACGGGTGGCTGCTCGGGACCCGCCGGCTGCCCTGCGAGCGGAGCTTCGCGCGCGGTCCCTCGCGCGGCTTCAAGCGCGCCAGACGCTCGCGCCGGCGGGCGCGGGGGGGCCGAGGCGGAACCAGGCGGCCACGCCCGCCAAGTGTCGGCCGTCGTGCTGCGCGCGCGGGCGCCGCCCCTGCCCGGGCCGACTGCGGCGCCGCGGTCGCGCCAGCCGATGGAAGTGGGCGCCGCTGGTTCGCCGCCGCCCTCGAACCCAGAATGCCCGACCCGGACAAGAGCGGCGCCAAGCGCCGCGGCGTGGCGAGACGCCAGGCAAAGGCAGCGGAATCGGGGCCCCTAGACGCGCCCCGCCCGAACACCGCGTTGACCGACGAGTTCGACGCGTGGCTCGCGGAGCAGGGGCTGGACCTGCGGCCCCAGATTTCGATCGACGTGCGCGAAGCGGGGGAGCTGGACGCCCAGGGCGCGGGGAAGCTCGACTTCAGTTTGGCCGAGTGGATGCTCCGGCAGTACTTCGAGGTCATCGACCACTGGCGCGGTGCGCAGATGCTGTCGGCGCCGCAGCGGAGCGACCCGAGGCTCGGCCACGACGGGTCGGCGCGGCGGCCCGGCAGTCGCTCCGCGGATGGAAGGCGCCCACGCCAGCGCTGACGCGCGCTGCCGCTGCCCGAGGAGGTCGTGGCCGCCATCGCGTGCGAGCTGGTGGCGATGTGCCTGCGGCAGATGGCCGCCCGCGTCGTCCTGCCCACGGTGTTCTACATGCGGCCAGGCGAGTGGGCGCGCGCGTTGGCGCGGCACCTGGCGGCCTCCCGAGCCGGGGGCAGCCTCGCGCTGAAGCGTGGGGCGCTGCCTCTGCACCCGCGCGAGAGGTGGGCCCCAGGCGCAGCAAGGCGGCGGATTTCGACGAGAGCCTCGCCCCCGACCTCGACGTGGATCATTGGTTGAGCGGCGTGCTTTACCGTGTCGCGGCAAGCAGACCGCCCGACGTCAGCCGGTTCGAAATTTCGGGCCGACGAGTTCGCGATCAGACTTCGCCTGGCGAGGAGACGCCAGTACCGTTTCCGCATCTGCTGCGGCACACTTGCGCCAGCCAGGACTTCGTAAACCAGCACCGTCCGCTTCGCAAGGCAAAGCGGCGCGGGCGGTGGAAGACCGACAAGGTGGTCCGGCGCTACGAAAACGAGAGGTTGAGCGATTACTTCGCGCGGATGCCGGCAACCATGCAAAGCGAGGCATGCGGTGTGATCACGTGCTCCCAAAGATTTTCTTACGGTAGTTGCCCCGCCCTCCCAGGCGCCCTGAAGGCGAGAGTCTTCCTCGAAGTGTTCCTCGGGTCGGCTCGCTTGAGCCAGGCTGCAGCGTCCCGCGGGTATCACCCCTTTTGCCTGGGATTTCAGGAAGCGGCCCGATGCATGATCTGAGACACCGATGGAAGCGCCAGCTCATCAGGGGCTGGGCGCTGAGCGAACTCGTTCGCGCCGCGCACCTTTGCACGCCACGCGGCAGCTGGCCTGGAGCGCGAGACTTCCAGCCCGGCCCGCCTCGTCTCCGCTCCAGCGCCTGCGCGCTTGGCCGCTGCCTGACCATCAGCGCAGGCCGCGGTCGACCTTTTTGGAAATTCCATGATGAGATTCACTGTGCCAGTTCTCTTATAGTCGAGCATTTGATTAAGAACCTGTCTCTCGGAAAGCTGGGCCAGCGTTTCTTAGCCAATTTGCCTGAAAGCTGGCTCAGTCTCTTGAACGCGTTCGCCCCTCCAGCGTTGACACAATAACTTGGCCAGGTTTGTCTTGAGATATTTCCGAAAAGCTGGACCAGGCTGCTTCAGGGATAATTTGCTTGATCATATTTGCGGTTGTAGTTGCCAAGGAAACAGTCCCCAACAGCATGGATAATTCCGGCACGTCTAGGATTTGGCTGGCCCCGGCTGTGGCCGCTCTTGTCCGCTCTCAACCTTGCTTTTCTGTCAACACTGATGTTCGCCAGCGGGGTACCCCACGGGGGAAAAGGAGCTCTGTCCTCGGGAACCATCTCGATCTGGAACCCTTGGCCAAGCTCAGTAGAGCACAGTCAACCCGCATAGTGAGGATGGGCAACCTTCCCAGGGATACCCTTGCATCCTTGCCTCCTCGGTCCATCCTTGGCCGCTTTCGTCGGCCTCGCCCCGCTCGAGAAGTCTCGGCATGGGCGTCCAAAGCCCTTGCCGCCTTAATTCTCGCGCATCTTTATAATACGGGCCTACTGTAAGAGTGGCAGACCCCATCGAGTCTTGGAGGGTCGGTATCCCGACGACCGTTTCTGGACTTCTGCTGCTGAAGCCTGTGTCCGGCTCCTCTCTGTGCCGACTCCTCGCTTGCTCTCTTTGGATGAGGCCATCGTCAGTCGTAGATCTATCGATATTCAGAGCATGTTGCGTCAATACGAGAGGCCTGACGGCCATCCGACCTGAGTTCTGGCCAAGTGTCTGCTTTGCCGAGGTGCATTAAGATTCCGATGTCATATGACAGTGCTGTGTCTCTGTCCGTGGCGGTCAATGCATCGTCCAGAGAAGATGAAGGCGCAAAGGAACGAAGGCACCTGGCTGATATTTCCTGGGCGCTTCGCGCTTGGCACGGCCAGGCAGCGGGAGATACTGTTCAGTGTTCCACACGTCTTTGGGTCTTCGCTGTCGCCATTGCGCCGTCCATCATCCGATGGCCACCTTTGCTCAAGTCTCCATCCCTCCCTCCCTCCTCATCCGTCCCTTCTCCTCTCGACCCTCCCGGCCTGTAACGATGCCAGATAGACTACAATCTAGTCTTCCTATTATACAATGGTCTGTCTCTGTCCGTGGCGGCCGTTGCACCGCCCAAAGAAAACGAAGGCACAAAGGAACGAAGGCACCTGGCCGACAGTTCCCCGGGCGCCTCGCGCTTTGGCACGGCCAGACCGCGGGGGGCGCGTGAGCACACGCATGTTCGGAGGCCCGCGAGGATCTCCGGCATCGGCGCTGGAGCCTGGCGCCGGCGCTGCTCCTGCGCGCTCCCTGCGCACCAGGAGAAGCGGGGGTCCAGCGACGGTCCAAGAGATCCGCGTGGACCTCCGAAAGTTGCTGCTTATGTAACTGCTTGTTCCTCGGTGACTTGGGGGAAGGCGATTTTCAGAGCGTGAATTACCTACCCCGCTTTCGCTTCCAGGCAAAACCAAGTCATACCACGCGCCTCCTCGTCAAGCGGTCTGACCAGTACAGGCCGTAATTTGTCATCGTTTGGTATCTCTTGGAAGCGAGGGTGGTCAAAAGCGAGGTAGGTTTGTTGTCCCCCTAGATTTCGAGCTTCAACATCACAGACTGGTGAGGATGGCTCAGGCGCAACGCCCGGGCCGCCCTGCCGACCGACATGTCTGGGGGTTCGGCAGGGTTGAGCTCAATGTTGTTGTATAAGGAAAAATGGATGGAGATGGAGGAGGAGGGAGTAACAGAAGGGGCGGAGGCGGAGGGCGACAAGGATGCGGACGAGGAGGAGGAGGGAGGAGGAGGAGGAGGAGAAGGAAGAGGAGGAGGAGGAGGATGAGGTAGGAGGAGGAGGAAGGAGGGGAGGGAGGAGGAGGAGGAAGGAGGAGGAGGGGAGGAGGAAGGAGGAGGAGTGGGGGGGGACCCAGACGGCGCGCAGGCCTACAGTGACGTCTACCGCGGCGTGGATGCGAGGCAATCACGAGGTGGCCATCAAGGCCCGCGCGCGCCGCGCGGCGTGCGCAGCGCGCGCTCCTCCTCTCCTCCTCCCTCCTCCTCCTCCTCGCTCCTCCTCCTCTCCTCCTCCTCCTCCTCCTCCTCCTCCTCCTCCTCCTCCTCCTCCCTCCTCCTCCTCCTCCTCTCCTCCTCCTCCTCCTCCCTCCTCCTCCTCCTCCCCCTTCCCAGGACCAGG